CACACTTCTGACTGTACCCAGTGCTTTTATAAATAAATAAATAAATCTTTAAAAAAAAAAAAATAAGAAGAAGGCTCCTAAGGTCTCAATGATATCTTTGAGTGAAATGGACTGAAGCATTTAAGCAAATTAAGCTTACTTTCATTTAATTTATAAAATTTTCAGTTCAAAATAAGGCCCTTTATTAAAGACTACTACCAAGAGAGTAAAAAGACAAATTATATAACAGTAGAAATATTTGAAAATCCCGTATCTGATAAGGAGCTGGTATCCAAAATACATAAAGTACAGTAACAGATCAGTGATAAAATGAAAAATAATCCCAATTAAAAAGTGAGCAAAGGGAGACTTCTGGTTTCAGCTTTGATGTGTGTTGAGTCCGGAACATGCCAGCATGCCCCAGGGACACACTGAGAATGGAGTCGTGAAGCAGGTTTGCAAGGCCGGACTCTGCTACTCAGTGAGCAGCCCTCTTGCTATTTACTAGCAGTAACAAACTAGAGTGACTGATTATGTGACAATGAGCAGGAGAAACAGGGTCCAAGGGAGACAAAGGGTAATCAACTTTATGGGGAGCTGGAGGGGGCATGTCGGCCACATATACAGGGAGGACTTCCTGTGCAGGTACTTGTAATTTCTGAGCTACTCCCAGACCACCTCAGACCAGGGCCACACAATCAGTCAATGGCTGCCTCGTGATGTGGGCCATTGTCTTAGGGCAGTCATGCAGGAGTGCCTCTTCCAAACCCTACAGCACAAGTGCACAGAGAGGCCACATAGGGTGCAAAGAAAGGCCACAGATATGTAAAGAGAAGAAGTTATAGCACAAATGGCCACCCCCAAATCCAGAGAGATGGGAACAGAAAATCACAGCTGAGATCAAGTTAGAGGAAGCAGTAGCAGCTGGAGCCAGAACCTGTAGTTTGAAGTGTGGAAATACAATACTACCTTCTTTCCTTTCTTTCTTTTTTTTTTTTTTTTTTGGTCAGGATTGCTTTGGCTCTTTGAAGTCTTTTGTGAATTTCAATAGTGTTTGTTCCAGTTCTTCGATAAATGCAATTAATATTTTGATTGAAATTACACTGAATCTGAATAACTGCTTTGGGTAGGATGGCCATTTTTACCATGTTGATTCTTCCAATCCATCAGGAAATATCTTTACATGTCTTTATGTCTTCTCCCATTTCATCTAACAAAGTCCTGCAGTTTTCTTTGTATAGATCTTTTACCTCCTTTGTCAGGTTTATTCCAAGGTATTTAAATTAATTTTTTCATGTGATTTTAAATGGGATCACTCTTATTCCAAGGTATTTAAATTAATTTTTTCATGTGATTTTAAATGGGATCACTCTCTTAAAAAAAAAAAAAAAGCAGAGATTGCACTTCTGAACTCATTCTGTAACACCAACATTACACTACTACCTAAAACAGAGTTATCTTAAGAGATTACTATGAACAAGTGTATCAAATATAAACAACCTAAAAGAAAAATTCTTAGAAATATACATCCTTCCAAGACTGAATGAGGAAGAAAGAGAATACCTAAACAGACCAATTACAAGTAAGGAAATTGAAAGTGTCATCAAAAATTCCCCCCAAAATCAAAATCCCAGAACCAGATGGTTTCACTGGTCAGTTCTACCAAGCATCCAAAGACAAGCTAATACCTATCTTTTTCAAATTCTTCCAAAAAAACTGAAAAAGAGGAAATGTTTCCAAACACAACATTTTTGAAGCCAACATCCTGACACTAAAACCAGACAAAGACATCTCAAAAAAGAAAACTACAGACCAATTTCCCATATAAACTTAGGTGCAAAAATCCTCAACAAAATCTTAGCAAACCAAATTCAGCAATGTGTTAAAGGGATCACATATATCATAACCAAGTGGGATTTATTCCAGAAGCACAAGGATTGTTCAACATCCAAAAATGTAATTCACCACATCACCAAAGTAAAAGGAAAAAAAGCATGTGATTCTATCAATAGATGCAGAGAAAGCATTTGATAGAATTTAACATTCATTTATGTTTAAAAAAAAAAACTCCCCAAAAGTGGGGTAGATGAACACACCTCAACAAAGCACAGGCCACATATGACAGACCCATTGCTAACATCACAGACTGAAAGTTTTTCCTCTAAGCTCAGGTGCAAGACAAGGATGTCCAGTTTCACCACTACTGGTACTGGAAGTCCTAGCTAGTACAACTAGACAAGAAAAAGATATGAGTAATCCAAACTGGAAGAGAACTAAAACTCTACTTGTAGATGACATATTCATATACATAAAAAACCCCAAAGATGCCATTAAAAACAAGTATTTAATTTTATGGTTATGAGTGCTGTGGTGGTAGGGGTGGTATGGTTAAGTTCAACTGAAGAGATGTGAACCAATACTCCTAAAACATATGCAGTGCTATAAACCAATGTTATCTTAATAAAAAATATATAATTTAAATTTAAATTTAAAACATAATTTAAATTTTAATAATAAACATATAATTTAAATAAGTAAATAAAATTCCTGGGGGAAAAAATCCTTAAATATCTGCTGCTGCTAACAATTTAAAGGAACATCTTATTTCCTTCCCAATGACAAGCTCATATTCCATAGCATTACTGCCAGAGTGTGGCTAGAACTCCCACAGAGGCTATACCTGTCACAGACTGCAATGTCAAAATCGTCTCTTATTAAGTTTATTTTATGTTAGACCATCAAGTTATATGTATCTAAAATTTTGTAGTCATTTAATATCCTTTTTTAACACCAATTAAAATGACAACTATGGAAATTTTGTGCTAGAATAAAATGGAGTTTAGTTCACCCAGTTCTAAATCACATACCAATAGCATCAACAGCAGGTAAAAGAGCATAACATCAAAGTACATTTTGATTCACTCTTGAAAAGATCTTTTCAAACAAACTCCTTTTGCTCTACTCAGATTTATGCACAAAAGCTGAAGGCTTCCATTCTCCACCCGAACCAGAGACTGCTGGCATACAGTTCAGTGGTTTGTTCCAGTGTTTAAAACTACAATGCCATGAGCCAGCCTCCTGGGAGCATTTTAGGCTTTGCTTACTTGAAAACTACTAGCTTGGTCAAAGGACACACTTGAGGTCTACATGTGATAAAAAGTTTCGAGTGTGGGAAACTATTAAGAAATTTTACTTATGGTAAAAAACAAAGTAAAAGTAAAAAACAAAACTAGTTTTTAAAAATACACTTGATAGCAATTAGTAAAAAACATTTGGAATGATACACATGTAATTGTGTGTGCTGACATTAGTTTATTCTCTTCACTGTTTTTATGAAACCAGGCATCAATACCCTCCGTGTGCTTCCTAACCATTTGACTGAAAATACTTCGGAAAAAAAAAAAACCTGTGATTAAAACTCAAAAGCCAGTGTAACTAAGAATTTTTTCACACATTAATTTTATTCTTTTTAACAGAAATAACCAATTCTGTTGTTTTTTGGGTCTTCACATGCTACAATAATTAAATTTTTCCTTGTTTCCTTGATGCTTAATAGTGTCTGTTTATATATGTCCAACTAATATATTATCAACGAACTAAGATCTCCACTATTTTATTTGAAGCTCACAAATAATTTAGCCAATAATATAATTTTCATTTTATAAGTAAGGAAAGAGGATGGTAGCTACATTACAAATATAAATACACAATACATCATTGTTTGGGGGAATGTATAGTTAATGGTAAAGAGGCTTTTGCCCCTTGAAATATCTTTTATTCCTCTTATCAAAAGATGAAATCCATCTGAACAAATCCACAGCTATCCTACTTCCATACATTCAACACAGGAATGTTTTTATGACTGCCTCAGCAATTCACGAATTTCATCCATTTTTTTATAATCCCCAAACCATTTCTAACACATACCGGGAAAGCAACTAAAATTATTTAGAACACAATGATATCTTGGCTGTAGAAAACTAAATAAATAAATAAATAAAGGTAACACCCTAGCTTTTAACGATACTGCTAGGAAACAGCCACAGGTCTACACCTCCACGTCTTGAGAATTGCCACGGCTGGAGGAGCACTAATCTCAGCAAATCTGAAGGGTAAAAAATGGACTAAGAATCCTGCCTTGTGAAGCACTCACTGCATCTCATTCTCCAAGACTCTATAGCAATTAAAAACCTATCACCACAGACGGCTAATGAATTTAGCAGAATTAAATCTAGATCTGTCTATTGTGGAGGCATTGCAGGTTTCTATCTCCAGCAGACTCAAGTTAAGACTAAATTTCTTTCAGCTTGAGTTAAATGAAAAAATATAATTCATATTTCCAGAGGCAAGAGTGGCATATTTTCCAGTAAGCTTCTTGTTCTCATTTTACTATTTTAAGAGTTTTGATCACTTCCAGGGTTGCTGTGTGGCGAGATCTAATTTCTGGTGGCTGATCGTTTTCATGGCATGATGCTTTACGGCAACTGTCTCCAAAACTGTTTTTATTCGTGTTTAACTTCAGAGTATTTATACACAAAATACCATTTCCATGGCGTTTTGCCAAGGGGGGTAAAAAGGCTTGCTAAAGTTTCAGTTGACTTTGTTAAAGGAAATTATTTTAAATTAATGTGGCTACTGAACCGCTGCCATCCTTAACCTCAGAAAATATATTCCTTCTAATTTTTGCTGTGAACATTTATTTATTTAAGTTAAATTCCAGCCCACGAATGTTGACCATAAAGAAGTCTAAACCTTCCTATGACTATTTCGGATTCTTTTTCTAAACAAGGGTGAGCTCGTGTTTGCTGCATTAGCATGCACAACCAGATAGCTACCAGTAAGTGAAATCATCGATGTATTTTTGGTAGGATCTTTAACAACGTCCACGCCCATCAGTGAAATAGAACAAGGCTGTTTTGTTTTCAAAGAGCAACAATTTGATCTCTGGTTTACTAGATGGCGCTCAAAATATTTTTCCATATGTTTTTCCGCAAAAAGAATCTGACATCAGCATGGTTTACCTTGACTAGTGAATGCAGGCTTTTTTCACCAAACATATCCCAGAGGAAGGTCAGGTCTTCCTGGCTGTCCACATGTGGCTGCAGCTGGGCTGGCAGAGCAGCCAACAGCTCATACAGACCTATAAAATGAAAATAAAACACAAAGCGTAATCTTAGAGTGATCTCATTAATTTCGCTTAAGGTGTGTGTAAGGGACGGCTGGAACATGTCGTTTTTACTGGATCTGTATTCTGGGCCATCAAGCAAAGCACTTCTCCAAAGAAGCAAAGGAAACTTTATGATTTTTAAATTCCAACGAAGTATGTATTAACAGGCTAGTTTTACCTTTCACAGTTGTCAACATTCTACAGTCATCCAAGTTTACATAACCCAAGACAGAAAATGTGTACAAGCTTTCAAAAAAAAGAAGAAAATGCATACATTCCTTTCCTTAATCGTTATTACATTTCCCTCAATGTTAGCCAGTGAGTGAAATGAGTCATGAATAGGAAAAACTTCCTAAGAAGAACAGAAAATGGATAGAGTGGGCCATTAAAAAGGTTTTGCGGCTTCCAAATAGTTCCTAAAAATATAGAGCTTCAAAACCATTTGCATTCTCTAACGTCCAAAGTCAAGTTCCAAAAAGTAAGACAGGGTAGGTGGCACGTGGTGCCACGGTCACGTCACTAACATAAAGAACAGCAACAACACATTGCACAGAACTTCATTTCGTCTGACTGTAACCTGGGGGTGGGTAAGAGGCTCTGAGAGTCCTGCTGGCGGCAGCACTCCCTGCGTGCCGGTGACAGCCGCGCAGCGTTGCAGGAAGCGCGCCTCTGAGCCATCAGTCTCCTTCAGGGGCTGTCAGACTCCCGTCCAAGGAATGTTGCAACCGTGCTTGCCCAAGACTCTTCAGGGAGGTGACCTGGCAGAAGTCAGTATCAACTCAGAGCACATGTTTCATTTTCCAGTGGGATTACATGAGGTAAAAAGGACAAAATTCCTTTTATTTCTTTCTGCTGTCTACAAAAACACCAAGACCTCCTGGGATCTACAACACATGGGATGGTTGTTATTTCTGGTCTGAATAAGTGCTGCTGTTCATCACAGAGACAGCTTTACAAGAAGTTTAACTAGCAAAGAATCATACAGTAAATTATAGACTGCTGATTAGAATATTATCTTCCTGAGCATCGTAATATTCTAATAATCAGTGATAAACATACCTAAAAAGGTGTTAGGTTCCACTTTGAAAATCAGATGGGGAACTTGAGAGGTATGATTAAATGCAAACATTCCTCTAGCTGTGTTTGGCCAAAAAGATCTAAAATATTCAGGGCGGGGCCGGGGGGGGGAGTTCTTCCAATGACACACTTAAAGTGTTCTTGGTGGTTTACATTTACTCCTCAAAAATCTGACATCCTGCCCAAACCAGCTTTTAATTACCACTTAGTAAAAATATTTTAAGGTATCTCAACCTAACTCAATGTATAAATCTATAATATTTCAGATCTCACTTTATACATCTTATGAACACCACACACACACACACACACACTTAAATCAATCACAATTGCCAAAATCAGTGGTTAAATGTCAGTTTCAAAATATGAAATGACATAAAAAGAACGTGGAATTTTACTACTTAATATTGACTTCAGGAGTAGTAATAATAACTACCTATTTCTTGGTAATACAATTTGTCTAACACTACTAATTTCAACTGTGATATAATTTATGGGGCATAGTTGTTAGGAACATGAAATGAGATAAAACAGAACAATCACTGAAAAGTAATCAATATGTTTCCTAGGTAACTTAGTGACTTTCATTCAATGTCATTCACCATCATTATTCCTAAAAAGGCAAAAATTTGGCTCAAACAAGACTAGATTTAAACCCCAGCCCAACACTTATCTGAGACTTGTTGCCCTCAAGTGCTAAAAAAGAAATGGTGGCTTAAACATGTAAAATTGAACAGAATAAAATACATAATACACAGAGGGACATACAGATGAGTGCCTGTAAAACTAGTCAACTCTGAAAAAGGTCAGCAAGTGGCATCCATGGAGATTCCCCAGAGGTGATACTCTACTTCAGGTATACAAGATGTTAGCACTGGAGGGTGTGAGGAAAGGTACACAAGATCTCTCTGCAACATGCGAATCTACAATTATCTTTCAAAGAAAAAAGAGATTGTTTTAAGCATTCAGTAGAATTATGTACATGGCAGCACTTAGCCCCATGACTGGCACAGAGTAGGCATTCAATAAAAAATAAAATTCTTTGCTAAATACGTCTCCTTCAAAATGCACATGCCATCCCAGCAATGCTTCCATGTTCAAACAATAGCTTAGCTACAAATTCCAACGGGACACAATAATCATACTCAGAGATAAAACCACCCTAGACTAACTTTTTATGGAAATAAAACATGTTCAATTAAAAAATAATCATTTCTCTGTTAGCAAATATTCATAATCCTGTTTGCTGGGTTTGATTAGCTTTGTGCAAACCATATCCCACCCTAATCTACTGCCCTAGTGACAACAGCAGTCACTGCTCTCAGCTCCCAAGTCTGATAACCACAGACCAAAATCAGAGAGAAAGGGCAGGGCCAGACAGAAATGAAAGATAGAGTTAAAAACCTAAGCTGTTCTAAGTGGTCTCAGCCATCCAAATAAATTACACAGGTTCTGGAGGCCACCTCAGTCCATGCCTAAAGAGGGTCTGTGTTCTAAAGGGTGCTTAAAAATAGTCCTACATTCAGTTTCCAGAATTCCCAACACTGAAGAAAATAGGTCCTTGAAATTAAGAGCAAAAAATAAGTGTTTAGCTAGCAAAGGCTATCTTTGAAATGTTTGCCTTAATCTATTTGGTCCCTGAGCAAGCCCTGAGATGGTGGATGTTACACTCGTCTCCTCAGCAGTCATTCATACTCATGGATGCTTCATTCCAACGATGAATCGGAGAGCACTGTAAGTGGGAAAAAGAACACCTCATATTTGGATACACAGAATACAGGACACTGTCAAAGGTGCATGTGAAGAGATTCCTAAGTTAATTCATAAAAATGCTCTAGCAGTGAAAAGCAGTATCTTAAAATTAGTGTATTTTATGTACTGACAGAAAAGAAAGCAATGACAGCAAAACTAAAATATGTCAGGGGTCATTTGATGAATATGTACAATAGTAAGTACAGTAATTTTTTTACAGATTTTTTTGTTTATTTATGCATACAAGAACTGAGGTGCAGGGCCTCCCCTGGTAGCGCAGTGGTTGAGCACTGGGTTGCTAGGCTGCCCACAGCCTCTGCAGTGCCAGTTCGATCCCTGGCCACCGGCGAGGGTCCCACAAAAAACAAACAAACAAACAACTGAGGTATAGGCCAGAAGTGCAGGGGGTAAGAGGATTCACCAGAGACAGAGTGGGGAGTAGAATAGGCAGACTGACTGAAATACACTGCTGAAGGGAGCAGTGGGCAAGACAGGAGAGGTCTGCTGCACCAGGTGCGTTAGTTCCCTGGCTGGGGACTGAACTCCTGCTGCAGTGGCTGGTGATAGCTTAATAGTGCTGAGACTTTAATACCTGCGCCACCAGGGAGGTCCAAGTATAGCAATTTAAAGAAGAAAGCAATCAGCAAAGGCTAGGGAAGATTTTCCTGGAGCCGGTAGGATAACAACTAAGATCTGAAGGTAGGAAAATAGGCCCAGGAAGATACATGCCAGATTGGAAAATACCCAAGGGGAAAAGTCAGCAATAATCTTATAAATCTATAAATGTTTATAAGCATTAAATTTCTGTGACCTGAAGAAAACACTAGAGAGTACTGAAACCCAGTGAAGGTCCAAACCAAAGACAAGATCTACACAGTGATTTGAACAAGGCCAGTTTAAATGATTAACTCTAGTGAGATTATCTGTAAAGTGGTAAACAAAAATCTCAAGCATACCTGGGGCTAAAGGAGATGACCCAGAGAAGACACTTTGAAAGAGGGGCTCCCACCCCAGGACTAGCATTCAGAAGTTATTGAAAAAGCCCACTAGATATCTGAGTTCCCTGGGGCCAGAGACCAGCCACAGTCCCTGGTGCTGGCAGTGGGTAGAAACCATGCTTGACCCATCAAGCAGGAGAAACTTCTACAGGGTTCAGGTCAGGAGCACCTGGATAGCAGAAGACCAGACCAGAACAGGAATGTCAAAATAATGGAGGTGGGAAGAAAACTGTGAAAGGGACTGAAAAGCAGAAAATACCTCTGGGGTACCTACAGGTCAATGTTGGGATCTGACTTCTGGGATACCCGAGAAACTCACTAGGAATCTGTCTGCAGGAGTGTTGCTGAATCTCAAAGGGAAGCTGTTCAACCAAAGTGCCACTGTGATGGAAGAAGGTAACACACTGGATGATTCCCACAGGTCCTGCTAGCATTTTAAGTAAATGAACTACTGAAATGTAAAAATACATTAGGTATTCACAGAACATTAAGACATTAGAGTAAGACCGGTTATGGAAGTATTCAAATCAAAACATTCCAGCCCAAAGCTTAGGCAATGAAACTACTGCCATACAATCAAAACTAGTGTCGACAACATGAAATCTAAGCAGAGGGAACAAAAAATATTAAGAGTGAAAAATTACTAAAGAGAGGGAAAGCTTTTGCAGTCTAGAAAATAAGGCTAGAATTTAAAAATAAAAATAAAAAACAGAATAACTTAAACCAACTTATTTTAAAGACCCTGCATGAATCAGGGCTAATTTAGAATCTTAACTCCTGATCTGAGAAATGTTCTAACCGAAACTATTAAGAGAATTTCACATATTCTTAGCCTCCACTTCACTTTTATAGAAAGATGCCATAACCAAGGCATAAGATATCTATATACCTGCTATGGATATTCTGAAAGTTCAAAGAAAATGATGACAAAGTAGAGATCATAGATTCACTTGTATAAACTGTAAGGACATCTCTGTTCAGGACAGTCCATTTTCTATTGCTTCTTCATTGCCTTTGGAAAAATACAAATTTTTGTTATTAAAGCAAAGGAAAATAATTTTATGCTAAAATATGACATTAATTCTAAAAACAGTAACATTTCCAAAATTGAAAGCATGCAAGAATACAGAACCATAAAGAAGTGCA